TTGATACTTTCATTTCATTTAAGGTATAATATTTCCTTTGGAAAAAGAAAGCTGAACTTAGGGATCACAGTACTAGAGTTCAAATCCTAAGCTCCACCTCTTATTAACTGGGACACCTTGGGTAAGTCACTAAACATCTCTGGGCCATCTATAAAATGAGGGGGTTGGACAACATGAACCGTGAGGTCATTTCCTGCTCTAGGTCTATGATCTCATGTCATTCATTGCTCAATTCTACCTCTGGACTTAAGTATGTAACCTAAGATGCTTCCTCTTTTCCTCAGCTGCAAGAAAACTTAAAACAAATTACACTGTGTGATTGTTATAACAAGAAGTTCAATTCAGGTCCCTGAAAATACAATTTTTTTTCTAATACCCTCTAGATAATCCCTGTTCAGTTTTATTCTTTAAAATGTCATACCTCACACTACACTTTAACCTATAAGATGCCCCAAGTCCTTTATGTGAGAAATGAAAGAGTTAAGTTTCCGCATAAGTAGATAAGAAATGAGCACAGACAGGCTAACTTCTGGGCCAGGGATGGGGGGGGAGAAGTGATAACACAATTCTAGGCACATAATGTATGTTGGGGTGGGGCATGCAAGGAAGATTGCAACCCACAAGGATTAGGACCAATCTAACTATAAAGCTTGCCCTGGTTTCTTTTACCAAGTGCATTTTCTCTCCTTCCAAGGAGGTGTGCCTGCTTCTCGCGAGAATCGAAATGACACACTTCAACCTCTTTAATAAAAAGTCTTTGAGACACCAGTCTCAAAAAACTGAATCTGGGGCCATCTTTATAACATTTAAGAGGTGGAAAAGACTACAAAACATACCCAATTGGTAAGTTTATAAAAACCTAATTATAAGTATGTACATGTACATACGCCCAAGATATTTTCAAAGAATGTTTGACAGCTTAAAAAGAAAGGCTGGTCACATGGTGAGACTGAGCAATAGACAACCTGCAAACTCTGTTGGTATCTTCCAGTAGAATTTAGCTCCTTGAGGGCACCCATTCTATCATTTCTGCCTTTGTATCACTCATGCCTAGCATGGTGACTGGCACAGTGGGTATTAAATAAATGTTTGCTGAGTAAATGTGTGAATCCTTGTGAAATCAAGAGAAAGAGAGAAAGACCCTTAGCACATCAATCCCCACTCCCCGTACCATGGTGAAATTATTGGGAGTGACATGATGGGCCAAAATGGATGGGCTGTGATTTGTACTGTAGGGAACACCCACATTGAAGAGATATCCATTTGAGATCATATCATTTGAGTATTTCAGTCCTGAGTATAGGAAACTTCAAAATTTTCAATCCTGAGACATGGCATTCTTTTTTTTTGTGTCATGCTCAGCTTTGGACTCAAGGTCAAAATATATAATTCATAAGCAGACAAGGCTTGTAAGTTTGCCAGCATGTGTCAACTGTTTGATGGTATGGGTACTGGATGAGTAAAGTGAAAGTGCTACATGTGTGTATGTGTGTGTATGCATAGGCTATATCTTTCCTTGGCTTCTCCTGAAACAGAATTAATTCAATTTTCCCCTTTAAACTGCCATCATCACTGAAAATATATAAATGCAGGCAGCCTTTGCAACAAATAACCGACACATTGTAATGGCGTAGGATTGGGTGTGTTTTATGATGTTCTTTGTGATTATACAACAATTATTCTCCCAGAGCAAAATGCAATCATCCTGTTTTTTTTACCTGGGTAAAACAAATGTGCTTAGATAAAATATATGAAAGAAAATAGTACAAATAAAGAATTTAGTTATTCTAATTTTGAAAGCTGTGAAGGATAAAATAAGTTATGAGTGAAGTCCCTCCTTTTCTCTGCCCAGGGTTAACAACTTTTCTATGAAAGATAATATTCGCTTGAAATAACAGACCTTTACATCTGAAATATGGAAATCAGCTCAAGCAGTGTAACTTAGAAATAACTATCCAAAGGGCCTTTAGAAAATGCCTATCTTGTTTGATCATGCCGTAAATGAAGGGTAGAAAGCATGAGCTATTCCCTCAGGGACATCAATAATACCTCAGCAAACCAAAAGCCTACTATATAGTGGGTTTGAAAGAAGTGTTGGCTGTGGGTCAAATGGGATTGTGGTCTCCACCCTTACTTCTTTTCTTAATAGCCCTGTTGTCATTTCATGCTTCTGTGATGTATTCATTACAAGAAAGACAGTTTACTTACATGTGTTTTTTTTTAGCTAAGAAAAGTGTGGAATTACATTTTCCCACAATATTTTTTCCAACACTTTTTGCACTATAAAGGGCCTTTTAAAAAGCCCTTTAAAAGTCTAGTCATGGAAACTGAGATGACTCTACATATCATTTACTTCTCAGTAGCACCTAGTAGAAATCTATAGAGACTCTATGCGCCAATAGACTGTAAAAACAGAAATGGTAAATTACTATTAAGGGACAATAGTAAGTTTGTTTCCTTTGAAATGTGGCAGAAACCAAGGGCTGTTTTGCAACAATACATTGTTTCATGGTTGAAGAGATTCTCTACAGTGGCCTGTTCCTCTGGTGAGTCAATCCTGGAAGGAAGGAATAGAAGAGTCACTGGGGAAAGTAAAACTTCTTCAGAAGATCCAGGTTCCACTTGGTATCCTGGGATAGGTAGTGTGAGTAATAATAATAATAATAGCAGCCAACATCTATATTGTGCTTTAAAACTTGAAAAGTGCTTTACAAATAGCATATCATTCAATCTTTACAACAATATTATCTTCACTTTACAGATGAGGAAACTGAGATAGTGAAAATGAATTACTTGCCCTAGCTATTATATGTCTGAAGTCACATGTGAACTTAAATCTTCCTGACTCATTCAATACTATATCTCTGTGAATGCTCTAGCTCTGTGGGAAAAGCCAGTAAAAATTGTGTACCTGATATATTTACTAATTTATTTGTAAGGCTGAACTACTTAACTGACTTTGTAGGAGAAGTATCATAGGTTTATCTATAGACAGCATTTCAGATGTCATAAAGCAATAGATTAAAATATGTAGCAGGATAAACCGTCTATTTCCCCAATGAAGAAATGTGTACTCTGGTACTGGAGAAGAATTAATGGGTTGATTTATTTTAAATGTATGAACATAGCTTATGAGGGATATTTCATAAGCAGACTGTTCTATGTTTTCCACAAGAAGGAAAAAACAAGGAATACAGGCGAAAACAACACCTCTTTATCACTGGTTGAATCCTGAAATGGAGACACTAGAAAAAAATGTCATTGTATACTAACAGTTTAGCTTTCATATCCAGCCCCCTCACCCTAACCACTATTTCTCTCAGCAAAGTCTAGTCTTCTACAGCACAGTCCTCCATTTCCTATTTTGTTTCTGGGCAAATAGAAAACACACAGAAGTATTCATCTCCTATCTATTTAATCTTTATAATGGCCAATCCTCCCATTTTTAGGTTTGATCCTTCCATTATTTCTACCCTGGTTTGTTTGTCTTCCTTCTTTCAACCTCAATGGCTAAGTCTTAATGCATTCTAAATTTATACTCTCATAGGGATATGAGATATGAGACAAAACAAAAAAAGAAAAGAGGGTGATTGAGGAATCTTTTAAAAAATTAAAAGAAAAAACAGAAATAAGGCAGAAAGAAGTACAAATAAACAGGATAGATTTGAAAGCTACAGGCTGTGCTTATTTAAAAAGAAAAGTAACTTATAAGAAACTTAAGAGCTTCATGTGCTTTATTTTTTTCTTCTACTATGCATGTAGAAGAGCTTATTTTATTGGTATTTAAGTTCAGAGTAAAAAAAAAAATCATCATGATCAACCACAAACATCTATTGAAGTTGTAATAGATTGAACTGGGTACTTGAGAAGTTGATAATGAATCCTATCAGGCAACTCAAAATGCATAAAACTCACACCTATCAATTTAGAAAATCTTTGTGAAGTATCATTGTTAAAAAGGTTTTCTCTGAACTCCCTTAAAATGTTAAAAGTTAGGAGAATCTGATTTAATGTGTCCTCTCACCTACACACCTACTGAAAATTTATGACACTGCACAAAGGAGCTTTATGTAAACAAATGGGAAAAGCTAGAGGGGTTGTTATATACAACATAGAAAAAAAATGAAAAGATAACTGTGCTATAGAGATGAAAACACATTTCTTCATTGGGGAAATAGACGGTTTATCCTGCTACATATTTTAATCTATTGCTTTATGACATCTGAAATGCTGTCTATAGATAAACCTATGATACTTCTCCTACAAAGTCAGTTAAGTAGTTCAGCCTTACAAATAAATTAGTAAATATATCAGGTACACAATTTTTACTGGCTTTTCCCACAGAGCTAGAGCATTCACAGAGATATAGTATTGAATGAGTCAGGAAGATTTAAGTTCACATGTGACTTCAGACATATAATAGCTAGGGCAAGTAATTCATTTTCACTATCTCAGTTTCCTCATCTGTAAAGTGAAGATAATATTGTTGTAAAGATTGAATGATATGCTATTTGTAAAGCACTTTTCAAGTTTTAAAGCACAATATAGATGTTGGCTGCTATTATTATTATTATTATTACTCACTGATATCATTTTGACAGACATTTATAAGCACTTGAGGGGCATCACCATCGTCTCAATTCTTAATTCAATTTATTAGCATAACCATCCCAATTTCTTTTAGGTTCTGGTCCCTTACCAGTTTGAGTTGCTTAGTACTAAAGTTTGATGGTTATTCATTGCCAAGGCAAAAACAAAAAAACCCCAAAAAACAAAACCCCACAATGGAAAGAAATCTCAAATCCCCGAAGTCAATACTCAGACAATTCTGTTCCTGTTCTCTCTCACTTGTTTTGTGTTATTGCCGGGATTCAAAAGGCAGGAATATTTAGTTTAACAAAGAACACTCTCTATGGAAAGTAAAATGAAATCAAATAAACTGAAAGGCCAATGTCTGTTTCCCACACTTCTTTCATGAAGGGAGAACAAATGGCTTTTACCTGGTTGATAGAAATTTGGTGAAAGCTCTCTTGCGACAGCCCTTGCAATGTCACATTCTTGGCGGGCAGACAGGGCAGCCTGGTCAGCAGCATCAGCTTTAGCTCTTGCATGTGCAGTCCTAAGCAGGGCATAAAAGTCAGGAGTCAGCAAAGGTGCCATCTTATTAACTCATTCAGTCTGAACAAACAAATCCTTACATTCTCCCCATTTTCATTCTCTAGTCCTGTTAAGAAAGTGAAACAAGAATAGGGCATGCAAAGAGAGATTGTGGGCCTGCTTTTTAGTCCTTTCTTGGTCAAAATTTAAGATTATTTTTGCTGTCAACATTTCTGTGCAAGGGAAGATGGAATCTGACCCAAGTGGAAGGGACTGCCTTGGAAGGTAGTGGGTTACTCTTTACTACAGGGCATTAGGTAAAGCTAGATGACAGGTGCAGCTAGGTGGTGCAGTGGTTAGAGCACCGGCCCTGAAGTCAGGAGGACCTGAGTTCAAATCCGGCCTCAGACCAAACACTTGATGCTTACTAGCTGTGTGACCCTGGGCAAGTCACTTAACCCCAATTACCTAATTAAAAAAAAAAGCTAGATGACCACTCATTACCCACTAAAAGACCATTTTAAAAAAACTTTCTATGTACCAAGTAATATGGTAGGCACTGGGGATACAATTTTTATTCAAAAATGAAACTGCCTCTGCCTCAAGGTACCTATATTGTATTTGGGAGAAACAACATGTGCACAGATCAACATACAGAAAATAAATACAAAGTAAATGCAAAATAATTTCCTCATGGCTGGGTTCTTAACAGCTTAAGGCATTTGGATAGGCCTGATGTAGAAAGTGACACTTGAATTAAACTTTGAAGCAACCTGAGGCTTTTACAAGGGAAGTATGGAGGAAGTATGTTCCAAGCATGAAAGACAGCCTGTGTAAAAGAGATGGAGATAAGACAGCAAGTCAGGTTTTTTGGTTGGTATATAAAGAGGGAATTGTGGATAATCAGTCAAGAAAGATAGGCTAGCCTTTGAAGGATTTTTAAATTATGAATGACTTTAAATGCCAAACAGTGTAGTTTGCATTTTATCCTAGGTCAGTCGACAAGTATAAGCTTACTATGTGTCAGGCACTGTGTTAAGTACTAGGCATAAAAAGAAAGACAACAGAACTCCAAACTAAACAAACAAAAAAACCCCAGTTACACCTCTCATGTACACAATGTAATGGGGAGATAACACGCAAACAGCTACATATAAACATGCTATATACAGGGTAAGTTGGAGATAATTTTAGAGAGGAGGCACTAAGAATAAATAAGGGGGCAGCTAGGTGGCACAGTGGATAGAGCACCAGCCTTGGAGTCAGGAGGACCTGAGTTCAAATCTGGTCTCAGAGCAGAACACTTGACACTTACTAGCTGTGTGACCCTGGGCAAGTCACTTAACCCTAATTGCCTAGGGGGAAAAAGAGAAACAAAAAGAATAAGTATGACTGGGAAAGACTTCTTGCAGCAGGAGGAAGCCACTGGAATTTCTTAAGTGGGAAAGTAACATTCTCAGATTTGTGCTTAGGAAAATCAATCTGGCAACTACATGGAAGATGGATTGGAGAAGGTGGAGATGGAGACTATTGCATAGTCCATGAGAAAGATGATGAGAGTCTTATCTGTGATGGTGGCTGTGTGTGTATAAATAAAAGGAGAGACTTGAGAACGATTTTACATTGATGTCGAGGTAGGAACAAAAAAGTTGGCAACTGATTGCACAGGTATAATAAGTGGAAGGAAGACTTTGTGGTCATGAACCTAAATGATTAGAAGGGTAGTGGTGCCCTCAACAGAAATAAGGAAGTTGGGAAGAGTGGTGGGAAAATAAGTTTTGTTTTAAACATGTTGATTTTGAAATACCTATGAGACATTCAGTTGGAAACTCCCAATTTCCAAGTCCAAAATGTCCATCACAGTTGGTGATGCCTGACAAGAGTTCAGGAGAGAGTCTAGAGATAGATATATAAGTCTGGGAAGCATCTGAATGCAGATGATAGGTGTTAGAACATGAGAGGTGTTAGAATAATAGTGAAAGAAGAGAAGTCTGCCCAAGCCAAAGACCTGGTGTCCACCCATAGAAAGGGGATGATGATCTAGTAAAGGAGACTGAAGAGAAATGACCAGTCAGGTGGAAGAATCATTGATTTAGAGATGGATGAGACCTTATAGATTATTTAGTCCAATCTCCTGATTTTGTGGCTGAGGAAACAAGCTCAGAGAATTTAAGTAACCTATACAAAGCCACCCAGGTGGTAAATAAGAACTAGGAGAGAGTAGTGACATGAAAACTAAGGCGAGACTAGGAGATAAACAGCATCAAACCAGATAGGTCAAAGAGTAAGAATGAAAGAAGTATGATGGAATAGGGATTCCTGTTTAGGTATGGGTTGGATGAGAAGGCCACTAAAATCCCTTCTAACTCATCAGAAATTTTCTGATTCTATGACCCAGAAGGAATCTATCCATAATTTTTATTCCTTATGTGAGAATTTCTAAGTATTTATGCCGAACCTTATTTGAGGCAGTTATTGAGATATAGATTCTCTTTTGCGTTCCTTCACCCTTCTTGTCAGTGCTTTCTAATTTCTTTATGGTGGCTTACCCACAACTAGTGCCTTCACGTTATCCCCTCCCAGAATAGGTTTTGTATTCTGATGCCTCTACCCAGCCTAGTCAGAGTGATTTCTTCCTCATCAATATTTATATCCTCTCCCAGGAGATTTTCTTTGTTGCCTGTATAGCTAAACAGGGGAAGAAGGAGAAAAAGACTCAGCTCTTATATGACTGACAAAGTTGGTGGCAACTTGATCAGATGTTCAGATACAAAGATGTCATGAGATCTGATGCTTAGGCCTTAGGGGCTGGATCTCAGGCTCTGGGGAGCAAGTCTTACAAAACTGGGAGGTAAAAAGTTAATGGTAAATTGTAGCAATCTACTAAGTGAACAAATAGAATGTAGACAATGAAGCAGAGAACAACCGGGACTCGAAAACAGATCAAGTGTGCTAAAATTTGCATGGACATGAGGAAAGCAGGCAAATTGATGCACAAAAGTATGTGCTTCAAATGTTGCTTATTTTCAATCTGAGTAGAAAACATCTGAGTAAAAAATCTGAGTAGAAAATCTCTTTTTAGCTCACTTACTGAAATTCAGTTACTGCACACTTGGCAGCTCTGGACAAGGAAACTATGACCTGAACAGTTCACAGTAAAATCATAACAGACTGGTGCCCAGAATGTTTGGATTTCCCCTGGATTGGTTAACCTTATGGTATGTGTAGTTCATGTGAATTAAGGTGAGTTTTCAACTTGGATATTAATGAATTGGCATTATTCTATTCCTATCCATGACCGTGTGATAGAATTATAATCAGTCAACTTGCAAATGTTGCTATTGGTAACAACTGGGGCCAACAGGAAAACAGGATGGATCAATATAAATCCATCACCACTAGTGGAAAATCTCTTAAAGTTAATGTCCTACTTACTTAGCAATGATGAATCAAATAGTCATCTCTGAAGGTCTGTAAGGTCACGCCACAGGGAGCCAGTTTTTCTATATTTAAGAATTAAAATGCTTCACGTTTTTCCTAAATTATTGAAATTTTAGAAAGTATGAGGATAATTATTTTGTGGCTGAAATGCCAACTCACAAGCCAATCACTGAAGCTTTTCATTCTATAGCAAACTACCTGATGTCAGCTACTACTGTGCATAATGTATGATCTTGCAGTTCTAGTTTTGTAAATGAATAAGGAATGCCCTTGCTAACATTTTAATGAATGTGAGGTGACATCTAATTAGAGATAAACGCTAATCAAAATTCACTGTAGTTTCATTGTCTCACAGATTTAGAGATCATTTCCTCATTGAGGGACTTGCCTGAAAGATACAGGTAATAAACTGATATAAACTGAGAAGGTCCTTTTTCTTCAAGCCTACAACTCTTCTCCATTGTTCACATTCAAGATTAAGTGCTCTTTTTTAAATTTAATATACCCCTTCAATTCAGAGATACTTTGAAACATGCTGTTTCAAACCACCATTTGCATTTCAATACTCTCTTGTTTGTTATCTTTCAGATTTTTTTTAAGAGTGTGAAACACTATGTAATATAGGTAAAGCTGTTAGAGTACAGTGCCTGATACATAAGAGGTACTATATGAATGCTTATTCCCTTCCTCCTCTCCAATGCCCTCATTGAAGGTTACAATTTGGCTGATCTAGCTATAAAAACCTAGTTAACTGAGTTTGCCATAAAATTGTTTTTTGTTTCAAACCTAATTCAAATCTTACTAAAATTTTTAAAGTATACTCTGCCACACAATATAAGCAAATCTTTCTCTGATGATGCAGGATCTTGCTGTGACATGGTGTCATCACTTGAACAAACACTGTGATTGTGCAGCCTGCTAGATTTAAATGCAAAAGCTGTAGACAATTCTATTTAACATAGACACATATACAATGAAGGAATTGAATTAGATGTCTTCCAATATCCCTTCAGGCTCATTCATCCATATATATCATATCAAAAGAAGTGTGGGAAAGAGAGAGGCATAGAATGACTCCTTCGACTCCAAATTCATTCTTCTTTCACACTATTACTTAATTACCTAACTAATTACACTTTTAAAACAATTCTGCTGTAAAATTCACTCATCATTATCCTCTTACTTTTATGGTACATGCATGTTCTTTCTGCCAAGTAAAATTCTCTTTCTTTAATGTCAAAAGTGTTTTTTTTTCTTTTTTTGGTCTCAAAGTATTATTTTCCTATGCATCCTCTACCTTCATGCACATTTTCTTTTTGTGGACTTTTTTTTCCCTGACTGCTCTATAATTCTACAGTTTTCATTCCCCTATTGCTTACATATTTTTACATTAATTTTTGGCTGTATATTGCAGCTTTGAAATGTCACAGAAGATTATCACTCCTCAAGATGGAAAAAGGTGGTCATTTTAAAGTTCTTTTGAACTCCCATGGATTTGAGCTGAAATCACAACTAACCCTGCCATCATTAACTGCAAATATCAAATGATTATTGTTTTTTTTCATGTTTTCTAAATTCACA